TTATTTTTTTAAATTTTTTTTAAAACTTATTTTTAATTTATTTTTAATTTTATTTATATATTTTTAATTTTTAAATTTGATTTAATTTTTATTAAAAAATAAAAAAAAAAATTGAAAAAAAATAAATAAATCCACGTGTCTGCCAGGTGTCACTGACCTGGCGGGACACCTGGCAGACACGTCACCTCCGGCGAGCCACGCGAGCGTCTCCGGCGCCGGAGGACTAAAACAGCGAAAATGTTTCACTTATGGGACTAGTTTGCGACAGGCTCCACTTACGGGACTAAAATGACAAGGGGGTCCAGTTACGGGACTTAAAAAAACACTTTACCCTAAAAAGAAATTATATTTTTCTCATAATATTAGTATGAATACATTGACTATCCTTGAATTTAAAATGAAGTTTCTAAAATTTTATCTTAACCTATATATATCATTACTTATAAAAAAATATTTTTAAAATAATATTCATTATTACATATATATATATATATCCTTTAAATAGTTTATATTTTACTTTTAAAGTGGCTTCATTTGCAATTAATAATTATTTATTAGTTTTATCATAATATTTTATTTTGTTGGAATATAATCAGTTTTTTTGCAATATTAATATGTTCCATAGTCTATTAGTGCAACAAAATTTTCTTTATAATTTATCTTTGTCAAAGTAATCATAATATACTATTTTAAAAAATTTATTTTTTTCTATAACTTGTAAAAATTGACATTTCGGAGGAATTTGTGTTTCTATTTTTATTTCTGTAGATAATGGATTTGCTTGAAGTGTGGCTTTATTTATGATTATAGATGTCATTCTAGATTCAATTTTTAGGTCTTTTATTCGTAATGAACTTATTTTTTATTTTAGCTTATTAATTTGACTTTTCAATATATTTCTTTCACTTTGAATATTTTTTGAAGATTTTTTTTTTTTTTTAAAAGGATTCGATGAATATTTGTCCTAGATTTTAGATAAATTAAAAGGTTCTACTATTTTAACAAACTATTCCTTTTTTTTAAAATTAAATCTGTGAAATTTTTCAAATAATCTCCTTTGATATTACGGTCTTGAATTTGATCTATACAATCAAAAAGAAATTTTTTACCTTTTTTTTTAATAGTTACATTTATACATATTCTAGACATAGTATTACATAAAATTTCACTGCATAAATTAGATTCTTCCTTTTCATAATCAGAATTTTGTACTATAACGAAGCCATTTTATCTTTTAAATCAGTTTCTTCAAAAATTTCAATAATCCTCCTTTTTAGTTTGCATTTATCTGTTTTGTGTCTTATATTTACACGCTTCCAATATGTTATTATATTTTTACTATTATTTTTGTAATTTTCTAAATAAGGTTTAGATTTTTTATATTCATGATGATGTTTGATGATGTTTGTATTTTAAATTCTCAGGTATTTTTTATCTGAAAGGGCTTTTATTTCACTTATGTCAAATGCTTGACAAAATGATTCTATTTCTCGACGTCCAGACTCATATCTAACTTATATTTATGGTTCAAAACATAATGTTGAACCTTCTTTTTTTAATAAAATAAATAATTGACCAAAAGTTAGTGTTTCATAATTTATAAATTCATTTCTTAATTCATTTTCAAGATTACTCATAATTTTTTGTAAAAATAAAGTGAGTAAACTAATTATGAATTTTTCTTTTTTTTTTAAAAAAAAAAAAGCATTTCAATCAAGTCTTCATAGTACACATGTTAAAAGCATGTCCTTATACCACCTAAATAATCGAATATTGCACTATTCACTCAGATTTGATTCAATTCATATACAATCCTAGTTGAGCTATGGGGTTGAAGTTTTAGAAATTTGATTGTTTTTATGTTAAACACGACCATATTAATAACTAATTGTAGCCATGTTTGATGTAGATTTGCTACAACCATGGCCAAAATAGCAAAACGTGTGTGTGTTCTATGTAAAACACATCAATGTTTATATATAGGTCATCATATGGCCTTGTCAATCTTTTCACTGATACGGCCATGTTTCATGAGAAAATGAGGACGTGTTCGAATGAAACACGGTTATGTTTGAAAATGGACATGTTTAGGTCTATGTTTGAACTATTGACTATTGGTACACGATGGTCCTTATTGGTATCAAATGCAACATGAATTTTTGTTACAGACACATTAGTATATTTTGTTAAAATTATAACGGGGGACCATGTTGGGTTTCTTTTGGTCGAATTTGGACTTCGGGGTTAACCTGTAAATACAAGAAAGCTCACACAGAAAGTTATTATTTGCAGATAACAATATATTTTATACAAAATCAGAAGGTAAAGAAGATAAATAAGAAAAATAGAGAATCGATATAGGCTCATATCACAACCACTCCCTTCACCATCCCAAATCGTCCAATGTTGTCAACACCACAAGGTGTTGAATGTTTGTACTTCACTTCTCAATGGACAGAAATCGACTGAACAGAAGGTGGGATAGTGAACAATGGAACATGTCACTTAGATAATACTATCAAGCATGCTAATGATTGTTTGAGCAAGCAGTTTGACATGAAATATTTTGGTGATGCAAAGAACATTCTTGGTATGAATATTATTAGAGATAAGACTTCTTTTACACTTTTGTTAAATCAATCTGCATACATTGAGAAAGTCCTTAAACGATTATGTATGTCTAATGCAAAGTCAACTAACGTGCCTTTAGCTTCTCATTTTGTGCTAACCAAAGATCAATGTCCTAAGTCTGAATCTGATATGAATTACATGAAAGATGTGTCATATTCGAATGCTATGGCTCTGTGATATACTTGATGATTTGCACTAGACCTAATATTGCATATTTTGTGAGTTTTTTGAGTTGTTTCATGTCTAATCCTGGAACTGAGCATTGGAATGCAGTCAAGTGGTTACTTAGATATTTATGTGGTTCTAGTAACCTAGGGCTAAAATTTGGAAAATGTGTTGGAGTAGTAAAATTGAGAGGTTATGTGGATTCTAACTATGAGAACGATAGAGACGGTAGGAAATCTACAACATCGTATGTGTTTACTTTGTGTGGCTCATATATAAATTGAAAATCCCAACTCCAATATATTGTTGCTCTATCTACTACTGAATCAGAATATGTTGCAATAACTGAGGCTTTAAAGGAAGCATTGTGGCTAAAATGTTTGCTTTCTGAAATTGAAATATTACGTGACAATGTGACAGTCTATTCTGATAGTCAGTCTGAAATCCAATTATGCAAGAATCTTGTTTTTCATGATAGAACTAAACTCATAGATGTTAGGTTTCATTTTATACGGGACATAATTGCAGAAGGGTCGGTTAAGCTTGAAAAAAAAATATATATCTTCTCAATTTAACCCTACTGATATGGGAACCAAATTCTTGCCTTTTTTTAAAGTTTCAATCATGTTTAAAAGTGTTAAATTTTGACAGATATGACTAAAACCATGTTTGCTTCTTTGATAGCATGTATTATTTTTCTGTGATTAATATATGCTCTACTAGATTGACTTCGTGTTGAGATTGCAGGAATAATGGTGATGATGATAACATGTTCCCACTCCCAATTGCCCTTCAATGTAATCATGATGGTCGACCAGAAACAAGGTGGAGAGTGTGGTATGTTTCTGCCCTACCAATCTGACCCGAACCGACCAAACCCTACCCGTTTTGACTTCTAACTTATAAAATCATATTTGTTTAGCAAATCTCACCCAAATCGTTTGAACCCATTCCTCCACTTCTCTCTCCATCAGTTCCGAAGTCGACGGGTGAGTTCTTCTTTTCTTTGGCCTAAATTCAAACTTGGTTGTTTCTACCTCGTCGCCTCTGCATCAGGTAAGTTTGGCTTCCCCTAGATTGAAGTAGTTTATCCAATATCCTCATACCTATAAATATTGGGTTGTTTGGTGTGTTGAAGAGTGGGTGAAAAACAGAGAGTGAAATCGATAGTTGTAGAGTCTCTTTTGGAAGTTCTGTTCAATAGTATAATCTAAGTGACATGTTGTTTCTTGTTCACTATCTCACCTTCTGTCCAGTCGATTTCTGTCCATTAAAAAGTGAAGTACAGACATTTAACACCTTTTGGTGTTGGCAACATTGGACGGCTTGGGGTGGTGAAGGAAGTGGTTGTGATATGAGTCTACATTGATTTTTTATTTTTCTTATTTATCTTCTTTACCTTCTAATTTTGCATAATATATATTGTTATCCGCGAATAATAAGTTTATGTGTGCGCTTTCTTGTGTTTACAAATTAACCCTAAAGTCCAAATTTGATCAAAAGAAACTTATGTTTGTTGGGGTGCAAACCCAAGTCCCACATTGGAAGATGTGAAGAAAATTTCTCACCTTATAAGTCCGAAATAAACTCCACTAGTATAAGGCCTTTAAAAGGAAGTCCAAAAACAAATTCGTGTGAGCTCAGTCCCAACGGACCAAAATAATAAATAATTTTTTGTATAAAATTAATTTTGGTGTGTGTTTTTTTTGGTGGGGCTAAAAATGAAAAAAATAATAATAATAATAATAATAAAAAGTGTTTAAGGGGGCTAGTTTTTATTTTTCTTAGAAAAATAATAGATTGAATGAATAATTTGAAAATAAGGTTGAAAATTCGATCAATATATGGCCTTGCTATTATGTTTGGGCTTTTGTAGTTGTATTGGGTTTATCAAGTATTGAACTTTTTATTAGTATTGGCCCATTAACCGGATGAGAAAATTGAAGGAATTGAATTGATTATTAATTGGGTTGTTTGAGATTGTATTGTACTTACGCATAGAATCAATCCATTTGGAAAACCAAAAGCAAGAGGGGCAGGAAGCAAAGCAAAGCGAATCCATTTGGGTTGTTCTCTATTGATTATTATTATTATTATTATTATTGCCTGTGTGCCTTCTGCGTCTACAAACTTTTCTCGAGCCCTTTCCTAACATCACCAACCATCCCTTTTGCCAGGCCAAGAACTTTCTTAATTAAATAATGCTCAAGCTCATGCCTTCTTACTCAGATCCACCACCACAAATACATATAAACCAGAAATCTAAAGAAACCAACAGTCCATGATTACATGCTTTTAGAAATGGAAGCTTGTCTTGTGCACTAAAAGTTGTGATTGTGTCGTAAAGCAATTCCATTAGCTAGCCATGGATGATCATAATATACTTTCCCCCCTTTTGAATCCTACCATTCCCTGGTGTCTTTTCTACGTACACCAACCAAGTTTAGCATCTCCAGTAGCACACCCTTCTTCATTAAGAAACACCAATCCCAATCAACACACCACCACCACATTTGCCTTTTGCCTTGCCTACTTATGAACACGCACTCCGCAATCGCATACATACATACATACATACTTTTGTCTTGGGTTTATTGCAAAGCTACGAGGAATTTTAATTTTGGTTTGGTAGGGAGAGGGATAGCAGTCAACACAGAGAATGAGTGCCGACTGGGGACCCGTCGTCGTTGCGGTGGTGACGTTTATCCTCCTCTCGCCGGGTCTTCTGTTCCAGTTGCCGGCCAGGACGAGGGTGATCGAATTCGGCAACATGTACACCAGTGGCATCTCCATCTTGGTGCATGCAGTTTTGTACTTTTGTATTTACACCATCTTGATTGTTGCCATTGGAATTCATATACATGCTGGCTAGCTAAATGTTTTTAAGCAACCAAAACTCCCTTCCTTCCTTCCTTTTACTACCTGATTCTCTCTGTTCCTTAGACGATGTATCTACTGTACTGCCTTCACACTTGAACTGATACTTTCTCTTCTTTTTCTTGTTTTCTTTACATACATTGGGAATGTGTTCTTCTTCACCTGTCATCGTGTCTGTCAGTCAATTCTGGATTGCACCTTGAGATGGCTAATAGGATAATACATGCATCCATTCTGCTTCTCTGCATATTCTGTATTTGCAATTAGGGCATTGGATTCACTACCCAGCTTTGAAATAGATCAAATATTTGGTTCGACTTATTTCTAAAGTTATACCCTATGTATCAACTGTTCGTTCTCTCTGCAATTTGTAGTAATATCAATTTGTGCTTACAATAAAAAAGGGAAATTGACAATCCAATCCAATCTCATGATCAAAAATCTTTCTGCCATTAGTATGCTACGAAAGAATAATCCAATATGATCAAAAGGGATCGCAAGTGAATCTTTTCTAAGAAAATCAGTAAATATCATTCATCACCATGGAGCTTGTAATTTCAACTTCAAATGGCGATTATTGCTATTTTATATATTGAACACCTCGATCAATGAAATACAGGCTGTAGTTGTTGATGTAGAAGTTGAAAGCAACAATAGCTTGGAAGAAACGCGAGGCACAGAAAGCATCAAAGGCAGAAAAATAAAAAACTTTTAACAAATTTCTTTCATAAACAGAAGATACCCATGGAATACAGAAACTAGGGCTAAATTAGAACCCAGTAAATGAAGCAAAAAGGGAAGTTCGGAAACTGAAATGCCATCGCAGTTTATAAGCTACAACACAATGAGTAGAGTAGAGTAGAGTTGGATCCCAATCATCAGCCAGTATAGATGTGGATTTGGACGGCGAGGATCAAAATAGCATAGAGAGCGAAGAAGATGAGGGTGTGGATGGCGATTGCCTTGCCATTGGTCTTCATGCTCCCAAACTCGACCTGCCTGTTGTTCCCAGGGATCTGAAATAGCAAGCCTGGCTGCAAGAGAACGAAGAGCACCACTCCGATAAGCACCGGGCCCCAGTCCGCCATAGCATCAGTATGTATGTATGTATGTAGAAGTCCAACGAACCGGTGCTTGCAGAAATGCTAGAAAGAAAGAAAGGATTCTAGAAATTTGGGAGGTAAAGGCGTATAGGGAAAGGAAATGGGAAAGGGACTAAAAAACATAAAGAAAAAAGCTTTTATCCCGTCACACAAAAAAGAAAAAGGAAGGGGGAGTGGGAGGGTGGAAATTGGGAAAGTGCATTTAATGCATGTGGAGGAAGAGAAGGATAAGGACATTGTGAGTCGGTTGCATTTTAGAATCATCTGATCCTAATGATACTATTCTTTCCCTTCTTTGCTATTTTAATTTACACACTCAATGGATGGCATTGAACATGGTGATGAAGATTTGGATCCATGGTGGATTCAGGCAGGATTAGGATTAGATTAGGAAAGGAAGCCCGCATACATGATTATGATAGGAGACTGAGACATGGCCCTCGGGAAGGGAGGGGAGGGTTCTTTCCTGTTTTGGACTGAATCTTTATATGAAATAGAAGCCAAAAAACTAAGAAAGATGTCTTGGTGTTTTGCACAAGTTCATCAATCAGATCAGATCAGGCCCACAAGCAAACCGTAATTGATAATGACTTGTTGGTTGAGGCTGATGATTGCTATACTAACACTATACTCTCTCGATTCTCAACTCCCTTCAAGAATCAATCTTTCTTCTTTTGCTGATCACAAGACGTTCGTTCAACCTATAGCAGAGCTTTCTTTGCAATTACAATCAGGATACGGACGCACAAGTTACAACATCTCTACTCTATGAATAATAATGTATAATCCAATCCATCTTACTGCTCTGCTCAAAATGGAAGTAGAAATCCCTGAAACTGTTGTTGCTTTCGGGAAATGTAAATACGGATTGATATAAGACAGACAGATTGCTATTTGATTTTGAGCCAAAAGAGATCCTCCTTTATTCAGGTTTCAATTGTTGCTTAGATTAAATGAATTGAGCATCAAGTAACAAAAACAACAAATGTGTGCGTAAATGATATGAATTGCAAATCTAGCAGTCTGGACTCGGAACACCAATTCACAGTAAATCTAACCGGGCTTATGGAAGAAATTTAACCACAACAAATCACCTCACAAACTACAATTGCAGCATCTGCAGTGCGGAGAAACAAATTTCGAACTCAATACATTAAGAAAAAGTAAGTAAATTGAAATGAGAAAGCAAGCGGTTGAGGTTCAGGTTCAGCCAAGGTACACATGAACACCGATTGCTAAAAGGAATATACAGATGAGAGCAAAATAAAGAATGGCGTGAACCAGAATCGAAAGGCCACTCGTCTGGAAGTTCCCGAACTCAACGAAGCGGTTGCGCCCCGGTAGCTGAATGAGCAGACCCGGCGTCAGCAGCACAAACAGCACCACCGCAACGAACACCGGCCCCCAATCCGCCATCTTTTCTCTCCGTCTACAGTGGCGGTGCGCAGCTGAGCCTGACCTGGTGGTGCCAATTTATAGATAGATAGATAGATATGGTGCAGAGAGAGATGAAAAAAAGGTGATGTTTACCTGATGTGGAAGCGATTTGAGATTCACGGCATTGGCACGAGCTAATAAGATCAGATGGGTTGAGCAGTAAGTACGTCAGAGGGTTTAGTCGGTTGCTTCGGCTGCGGCAAATCCAAATTCTGTGGTTTTTCGCACATTGGTAATGCTTGCCTTGCCTCCTCACTATTATTTATTCCTTTCTTAAATAATTATTAAAGCTTTATTTACTTACTTAAAAATTTACTTTTAGCATTACAATCTATAATAAAGTTTTTATTGAATATCTATTTTATTCTAAAAAAAACATTCTTTTCTATCTTTACGTAAATTTGTTAGTTTGAATTTTTTTATTAAAATAATGCCAAACAATATTTTATAAAAAATAAACGGCTTATCATTTTTCAAAGTAGAATTCAAATAATAAAAAATAAATACTATTGTATGTTTACTTTATATATATTTGTATGTGGATACCAAGAATTGTATAAATAAAATATTGTTTTATTCTGTAAGAGATGAATTAGGTCATAAATTCAAAGTTTGACATTTACAAATTTTGCTACCTCATGGGTTCAAATGCTGTAACCTTTAGATTTTGCCATCTCATGAGTTCAAACTCATATTTTGCAGAGTCCCAATGCTTCAAGTGTTTCATATAAGTAAACCCATTGTATTTTCAGAATTGGGCAAAAATAATAAACAAACGAACTTTTTAGCAACCCAACACCAGTCATCCAAAGTAATGAACCAGCATGTAAATAGTACAGGTTAACTTTTAGTCAAATCTAGGCACAAGGCATATCATATGGTCATCATTGAGTTCAAAGGAGACTGGAGTTTAATGTTACCTGTGTCTGTGTGCAATTATGACAAAAATTCAATCAATATATATATATATTTATTTAAATAAAGGAAACATTACTGGTTCTAGAATGCATAAACTGCTCTCTAGTAGCTTTATACCAACTCTGTGCTTGGAACGGAACATACATGATAATAACACAAAGCAATTTAGGTACACGAACATGATAGCAAATCTTTCAAAGAATTCACTTTGGGAACACATGCTTTGATGCAACCAGTGCCAGCCAGCAAATATGCAAGACGATAATTAAAATAAAAAAAAAAAAAAAAAAGAGCTTGGAAACACATGGATTTCGTTTAATCCATTAAAGAAAGCAACTTGGGAATACAGAGGGTTTAATGGTAGAGAGATAGGGTAGGGAGAGTGTAGTTGTTGATTGTTTCAGCTCCCATCACTCCCATATCCTCATGTTCATCATCATCAGGCATAATTCAAACGGAATATGTCGTTCAGCACATAGAAGCTTCCTTGAGGAATCGGCATCAAATGGAACATCTATGACCAACAAGGTAACAACAACAGCTGCTAAAGGTCAGAATCAGTGGATAATTCCAGGAATAAAGTAGAGCATCATCATATCTCAAAAATCAGTAATAATAAACAACACTCAATCTCCTAAACAACAATATTTTCTGATCAAAATAAACATTTAGGACTTAGTTGTTCGATATACAGGCCTGTTCCAATAACAATGTTAAGTACATGGACAGAAAAAAGGTGTGTTTGTTTGGAGGATTGGATTTTAAATACACTATTCATCCCATTTTTCTCCCAAAAACATCAAATCAAACACCTATTTTTCATTTTTTATATTATACTAAAAATCAATTTTACATTCAAAACATCACATCAACACCCATTTACATTACATCATACAACTATTCAAATTCAAAATTTTTACTATTCAAATCCCAACTCAAAATCCAAACCCCCCAAACAGACCGTAAATATACCTAGCTAGTGCGGGTGAAATCATTGTGAATTCAACATTCATTGTTAAAAGAGCATTTCAACTAAAAATGAAACAAATAAGTGTTGATTGCCTGCAGATTCGGACTCTACTGATAATCAAAACCATTTTGAATCAAAAACTTCAATTCCCAACCACAAACAGCATAATTCATCTCCACCAGCCAAAGCATGACCACTCAGGGTAAAGATCATCAAAATTCCACATGCCACAAAGACGTCTAGAAGGATGCATGCTTGGCACACAGGAGATGTCATTGCAATTGATTAAGCATGGTTAAAACAATGTTTGAAATTTGAAGGTGGTGGTATACTGTACTTATAAATCAATCTAACTTGCTGGCCAAATTGTAACTACCGTGAACCTGCCACAAGTAAGATCGAAACCACCACCAACTGAAGAAGGAATCACATCAGTATAATAAGAACACATTGTCTTTTAACAGACGGATTACGCTGCACACAAGTTATTGTTCACCACATCCCTTGAGGATGTGAAGGGGATAGCTCAACCACTTGAGCACATTCTTAAACAGAACTTGCACCAGATAGATGGGGATTATTTTGGAAAAACCACACAAGATTATGATACTTCCACCAATATAACATTTAAATCATGCTGTGCCCCATTAACCGCTCAAATCTCACGTTAACATGAGAAAACCACAAAAATATAAGCAAAATACACATTAGTGCAGCACCCTACTTCTAAAGACACTACTCCACAAAACTATCGTGCAAAGGTTTCTTTCATATTTACAGCTTCAGAAACGAAAAAGTAAAAAGCATACAAATGCAAACATCTAACTGAGATGAATCCCAACATCAGGTCCGTCTTCCAATAATAAGTAGAAATTGAAATCATTGAATCTTTTCAAAACCCTATATGTCATTCCATGGGAATTTAAATTATACAAATCATGGCAATTCACAAGTCCTTTCCACACCTTTTCATGGAAGACAATCCTATTTTCATATATATAGAAACACTAGAAAAAAACAAAAAAGTGGCAACATCCAGTATAAGTAGTAAGATAAACAGAGTGATGCTATAACATATATCAACACTCAAAACAGTCCTTTCGAGTTTTGAGTTTTGTTGTATATAGTAAGTCAGTCATTAATCAATAGGTTCACCTAAACAGGGACATGCAATTACCCTCTCGGGCAGAGTAGCACACATCAACAAGCACTACCACACCTTCTTTCTATCAGAACGACACGTATATAAAATAAAATGAACCCCAACACTTTTTAATAACATCTACACATCATAAATTTCAAACAAAATGAAATTCCTCGCAGGAATGCCAAACCAAAACCAAATAAAATCAAGAGAATAAGTCCAATTGATCAAACAAAATAGAAAGTAACAAAATAAACTGAATAATGATCATATCAATACGAATCTGTAATTCCACACCCTAATCAGGCATGCGATTTAAGAGGAATCGGAAGCAATACCTGACTGAACTTGAGGGCGTGCTGCTCGCCCCCAAGCTGGAGATTACCGGACACAAAAACAAGCATTCCGCCAGCGGGGCCAGATGGCTGGCAATCAACGGTGGTGATCCGATGCTGGCACTGCTGAAAAGGCAAGTTTGTGAGCTTTGTGACGATATTCTGGGATCCCAAGATCTTCTCGCCCTCGAAGGTGAGCATAGAGCCCTCCTGATACAGGCTCGCAAGCCCGGCCCGATTAGCATCAAAAGTGGAGTAGTAGTGGTCGACGAATGCCTTTGCCACGGCGTCGGGATCCATTGAGTGCGCCCTCGGAATTTGGGTTTCGATTTGATAATTGATATCTCTATCTATCCGACTTCGCCTCTGCGTCTGCCTTGCGTTTTACACAAGTCAAAAAGCAAAGTCGAGATTTATGATGCAAGAATATATTATCTTTTAAATTTCTTGGATTCGTCGGTTCAAAAATTATTTTATTAAATCATTTTTGTGTATCATTGCTGACAAATTAAGCTAAACCTGAGTTGGAAGGAACATTCCAGAGATGTCTGAATAGGATTGGGCGACGCAAAAAACAGAACAATAAAAATATAGAAAAAACCAAAATTTATGTGGAGAGTGGGATTTGAACCCACGCCCTTTCGGACCAGAACCTTAATCTGGCGCCTTAGACCAACTCGGCCATCTCCACCTTTTGAGATAATAAGGTATAAACAATAAAACAAATAAATCATGAGAACGATTGTTAGAAAGTATTAAGGACAATTCACACTCACCATTTTGAGCATTTTTCATAATTGCCGACAAACATGATTCATCCCATTAATCCATGCTTACATATTGTATGTATGCCAAGCAGCAACAACCGGCTTACAAATAATGAAGGAAGAAGGTTTTTCAAGTAGAATCCATCAACCATGACGCTATTGTCATCGGGGCTGAAATACAGGCGAAACTCTTCTTCTAACAATGTCCTGGATCTGCTCAACTGACAAAAGGGATGCCTCAGGTTCAAAGTTTGCCTTCTCAATCTGTTGCTGTATCTGCACCACCATAAAACCAGCTAATTACTTTTAGGGAAGTGGCGAAGTGCACCACCAATCATTCAATTGTATGGATTTTCGGGGGGATGATTACTGACGTTATGATTGTAGAAACAATGAGTGACAAGATAATGTGAATTGAGTTATGGCCATCTCCATGTACAAACAAAGAAGATGTTGTAGCAATAGAGAGAGAAACTGTGGGACGCCACTCTTATAGCTGTGAAACAAAATGCAAACTAATTTAACAGGGGCACCTTACCTTCTCAAGGATTGCAGACTGATCATCCAAGTTGAAATTACGCATGTGTTTCAGCATCTCCAGTTGCTGTAAGTAAGTCAGGTTCAACTTATTCATTGCTATCACAGCACATATAAAGGGGTTTATGGAACACATACCTGCTCGTGTAAATTATGTTGCATTTCCATTCTTTCAGCAAATTTTTCAGGCCCGAGCTCTGCCTCCTCACAAGCTAACTCCTCTCTTTCATGTCAAATAAAATGACGTAATTTATGTCTAGTGAATCAGCTCAGTTTAGGAGAATGCTGTTGAAATCTTTACATGTCTTGTGAAAATGCCAAGCAAAGTAAACAACATTGCAATTGAAAAGAACAAAAGAAAAAAGGTAGGTTATGCATAACCTACATATAGCTATCAATCTTTATCTCCAAAGGGAAAGTGTTTTTTTACACATCAAAAGAATTACTAAGATAAAGCCCATGTTTTGACCAAAAGATTGATGGCTAAGCATCATAGAGTTTGCCAGAATCTCCAGAAAACTGAAATAAGACACTTCATAGAATTTCTCCGGATTCCCGAAAATTGAACCAACTATGCAACAAAAACAATTATCAATTAACATGGAATGTGAATTCTATGCAGCAAAAAAAAAAAAAAAAAAAAAATTATTTCAATTAACATTAGCATTAAACTGCTGAAAGTATATAACTTACTTTGCTACAAAACCATAAAATTGAATCATCAAATCCTGGTCGTGTTCATAAGCAAGGTTAACTTTTCCCAGGCAAGCAAGGCCAAACTGTGCATCTGAAATAGAGATGTGTAGTCAATCATCAACGTTACAAAAATGCAAAAAACAAATGAGCATTGCATACAGATTTAACTTAACGACATATTACTGCAGCTTTTAATGAATCCACACCACCGTAGAAGCTTACATACAAAGACTGTAGTTAGTGTCAACCACTATATGAAACCATTGAATGATGTTTCCAAATACCATCCAACCAATTTAGGCCCACCCATTAAAATTGTTTATAGTATGTAGCTTTCTCCACTGTATGAAAAAAAAAAAAAAAAAAAAAAAAATCCAAAAGGAACAGAAACGGTCTAAGCAATTAATTTAGCCTAAATGTGTAACAACCCAAGGGCTAGACACTCTGTAGGCATCAAATGCCAGTTTACCAAAATATGCTGCAAAATATGAAATGACATAACCAATGAGCAATGAATTGTCTCAGCCTAAAAATCTTACCAATTCCCATCTCCAGAAATATCTCTTCTTGGATTGCAGTAGTTACAGCAACAGCTTCCTGGTTCATTGAAATTCAATTGTCACCAGTATAGAATAGAAGAAACTAGTATTTGTGGTTACAAACGAATGATTTGTTGTCAAATCACTCTGAGACAAACTGATTGAGAAGGATTTTAAAAAATTATGATGTTAATAATCAAACAATCAACTAGAAACATCAATAGCCTTACACCATAGGGAATGACTAGTTCAGACATTCAATTCTAACTTACCTTTAGAATTTACTGCGTTACTATCAAATGCACTTCAACAAAATCTAAAACTTCACATGAATATACAGTGCCTCAAGAGAGGGTGTTTATATTGTTTTCCACCACAGATAGCAGGAAACAGTGACAGTTTACAAGCCGAGTTCACCCGAACTCAGAAAATCAATCAATTAAAGTGGCAAAATAGAAACAAATTTTACGTGCTTATCGTTGACGGCATCAGCAATCCGTTTCTTCACCTCTGCAAAAGTGCCGAAAACAGAAACAGTTGTCAGCTCGGAAGAGAAAGAATAAATAAAATAAAGAAACAAAAATGGTTTTAAGTTGAAAGTCATGGAGAAAAATCATTAAACTGAAAAATAATGACCAGGTTGCGAGGTGAGGAATGCGAAACGATCGAAAAGGAAAAGCAACTGATCTCTTGAAAGCATTGCCGAATTCTGGCGCTCCATTGTTGAGCTTGAAATACAGTCGGTTTAGATCGAATAAAGCTCAGTCCCCTCACTCTGAAATTCAAAATGGAAGTAAGGTAATTCAAAAGAAGGGAAGAGGAGAGCAGCCACGAAAACAGAAAACACTACCGTCTCTGGATGCGGGTGACACGAACGAACACCGTTCCCCGGGTTAGGCCCCAAAATTTTGCCGAACAGAATAATAAAGGGAGTTTTTCTAATGATCCCTCAAGTCACATTTTCTTTATATACTCCACTTTTCTTTCTCATTTCAGATGATCACTTTTTTTTTTTTTTTTTTTTTTTTTTTTTTTTTTTTTATACGGTGATATTTTTAATTTTTATTTAAATTATAAATATATTATTATACAATACTTATTTATTTATTTTTTTATTTTTTATAAAATCTAATATTAAAATATTAATCAATAAAATACTATTATTTTTTAATCTAGTATAAAATCTAAAAGTCTTTTTAAAAAGGAAAGAGGGAGTAATACACTCAGCAAAGATTATTTTTCTCTCATTATATATTACCAACAATTTTGATCTAAATAAAATATTTTTATCAATTTTGATCTCACTTAAATTAAAATTTAAAGCTTTATTGGTCTAATTCATATCATATCTCAATATTAAAATTATTTTTTTATATATGTTATAGTAATCACATTCAATATATTACATTTAATATACTTCTTCCGTCTCATAACTACGAATAAGTTTGTGTTTTGGACGAAATTTTAGAAATATTAGTATTATATTGAGATGACTAAAATAACTTTATTACTATTGTGTGATATAAAAGTAATATCATTTGTGTAATATATTGTAAGTGGTAAAGGTATTAGAAAAATAGATAGTTTGTTATGGAACGGAGAGAGTATTATTTTTTATAAGATCCATAATAATTTATTTATTTTTATATATCTTTATTGTCTAATAACATTTTTATATAATATTATATTTTAATTTTTAAATATTAATCTATATAAATTTTAATATATTAAAACATATAGTTTACTATTTTAATAATTAAAATTATTCGAAATAAATTAGCATATATATTTATAAATAATTTTTGTTAAATTTCAAATTTCAAATTTTGAAATTTCAAATTTTTTTGTTGAAGGTAACTATTATTTAGAAATGTCCGTTATAACTGTATTTTTTATTAGATGTAATGAAAAGACAAGTAGTTTTTATAATAAAAAGGAAAAAGATAATAAAAGTAATAAATAATGTAACTATACTCTTCTACCCATAGTAGCTAACATGCACGACTATAACACGGGTATGTTGAATGACTCTTCTACCCATTAGTGAATAATATTTTTTATATATAAATATAATTTATTTTCTAAAGAATAATATATATATATATATAGTCATCATATTTATAACTATATTCAATTTATATCTTTGTTGTATGGAATAAAGTCTAACAAAATACTTTTAGGGGTAAAACTTTTGGGTGTGTTTGTATGTGGGTTTGAATTTTTTGGTTTGGATTTTTTAATAATAAATTGTTAAATTTTAATAGTTGTTTGATATGATATAAATAAAGGTTGACGTCATGCTTTAAACAGCGCCGTCCACTTAATAAATTTATATTTATTTTTTTATATTAATATTGAATGTTAATTATTATATCAAATATAGTCTAAAAAAATAAAAAACGACAATCTTTTTTATTAGTAAATATTGATATATTATCTTTTTTTTAAAAAAAATAAAAAAACTAATGCACTTTCTTATTAAAAAAATCAAACACTTTGATATTTTTATTATTTTAAATATTTTTTATAGATTATATATATATTTTTTTAAAATAAAAAAATTTAATAAAATAAGGTAAAGGTTGGGTGGGGTCAGGTAAGTGGGCTGCAGCCCACTCTAACCTCTTAATAGGTTTGCCACTGACTTATATTGGTCAAAATAAAAATGTTATAATTATACCTTATTTTTATTGCAATGATTGCTTTTAAATTATTAAAATTAGTTTAATTGCTTGGTTATCTTGCATTTTTTTATTATTCAAATTTATGTTCAATTGTTTTTTTAAAAAATTATCATAAAAGATATTCCCATTTTTTGGCAAAAATTGCATCACTTCTCTCTGTATTTTTTTACTATAAAAAACAAATAATTAAAATTATTATCCACTTTTATAAATATTTAAGCACATAAGTGAATGACCAATGAAATATTAATGTATATTTGATAAAAAAAAATAAAAAAATAAAAAAAATAAAATTAATTTCAATATATAAAATATTAAATATAAAAAAAATTCAAATAAATATTATTTCAATATTTATGTTTCTTTACCCAATAAAAAATAATAAAATAATGTTATATTAAAAAATATTACATAAATTAAATCAAACGAAATAACTATATAATATAATACATTTTAAACTGCATGCTCAAAAGTAGACGTGAGCATTCAAATTTTAGGTTCGAATTTTTTCAAATCCGAACTAATCCAAAAATTCAAATTTTCTTAAAATATTAGTTTTGGACGAAGAAAGTGTTTTGTGCAAACTTTAATATAAAACAAGAACGTTTCACGCAATAAATAAAATATGAAGTATTTTGTGCATTTTTATTAAAAGACAATGGAGTGTTATACTCCCTCCGTCCCATTGGAAGGGTAGCATTTGTTTTTTGCACGTAGATTTTTAAATATTAGTATAATATTAAATTGTAGTAGAAAAGATAAAAATACCCCTATTAGTATGGTGTAATATAAAAGTAATGACATTTATGTAATATATTGTAAATTAAAAGGGTATTTATTATATTAGGTATGTAGTACAATTACTAAATTAGGAAATTGTAACATTGTTTTGGGACAAACGAAAATAGAAAATGATAATCTTTCAATGAGAGAGAGAGAGTATAACTTTACCTAAAAAAAAGGGTGTACATGACTTTTTGGGATAAATGGTCATCCTACTTCAGCGTCATTATTCTATTTTAGGGAATGATTGAGCTAACCGCATTATCCCTAATTTTGTTCAACTAATTAATATTTATCTCAATTATGATTTATCTAAAAATAATATTTGTATAAAGTTGTGGAGAAGCAATTCCATAATTCTATCTAAAAATCCAATAAAATTTGCTTTTCCTTTTGACCTAATTTATTGGGCTTTAATTCCATTAAGCACGATGGATATCATTTTTAGGCTCGCCGTTGAGCCACAATCCCTAACTCGTGAGTTGCGAAGTATTAGGTCTTTCTTTGACGTATTGGATTGCCGTCGACGTTGCCGGACTTCTGCTTAACTCGTGTGGGATTCATTCGACACCGTTGGACATTGCTCAATACTGTTGAACATCGCTCGACATGGCTAGACTTTCCTCTACACAATTGAATTTCAGTCAACACTGTTGGACCTCGTTCGACGTAGATGGGCCTCACTCGATATGGATGGGCCTTACTCGTGCTTTGTCATATGAGGTTTCATCGATTCGAGACGTTTCGAGACGAGGGTAACAAATAACATTTGCTTCAAAATCAAATTCATTACACCGGAGAGAGGGTTGCAAATAGGACAATGATAATGATATCAATTTAGAAATTTCAACAAAATATATCTGCAGAAGTATTAATTATTAAATTATATTCCAATAATGCCTTTAGGTTAAGATTAAAATATTGCATACATAATAATCAAAACTATACCAGTAATATAGCTTGGATCAAACTCTCTAATAGCTGAAAGACCACTATCAGGGCGTAACTACAACACAACTAGTCCACCAAACAGTGCCACAACATAAGATCGAAACCATATAAAATTTAAAATAGAATGATGCAGACAGATAGATAGAGGATGACAGATTAATAACATACAACATAAAAATAGATAGATAGATGGATAAAATTTGAATTGAACTTACAAGAGCACAAAAGGTGTACAAATTGTTGTCTCTCATACAGTTGCATCATTGTTGAACGTAGAAGTAATAAATTTGTCATACCTATATAAAAATATATAAATTTATATACACAAAGTGAAATCAATTAATTGAAAATAATAAACTTAAACAACACATAAAAATTTTTAAATATTAAAGTAATTTTTTCTATTTTTCCGACATTTTGAAGAATTTCCTCAACACTAAAAGGAGCAGATTTGTGAAGCCAATATTGAGCACAAACGAGATACTCAACTTTAGGACTTAAAGAGCTCCTAAATGGATCAAATACTCGTCCTCCAGTGATAAATGTCTCTCCAATGCTACAATTGAGACGAGCACTGGTAGAATATCACGGGCTACTTGAAAAAGTATCGGATATTTATATTCATTATTTTCCTCAAATCTAAAACACCAAATTTTGGTCCTCAATTTTCAGTATATCCCTTAAGAAATTTAAAGATATCACTACCATACTCTTTTAGGTGAAAGTTTAATATATAGATCCTACATTTCTCAATGCATCCCTTAGTGTATTATTATCATCAAGTCCAACATTTGGAAACTCTCTTTTTTTCTTACTCATAATTTTTTTTCATTAACAATTGATTGTTTGTGATCACCATACATAGTATACAATTCATCTTTTCAACTTCTTTTACAATTGACTTAGCCAACTCAACATCATACATATTTGACAATGCAGGTTTCACCTATTTCAACTTGTATCGAGAACCAATAACATCCATTAATGTTATCTTATTAATCTTATTTAGATCTCCCTTGCCAAATTTTCTTTTCATAGTTTTGGTCATTTTACTTAATTCATCATTGTTACATTCTACGAAAATCTTCAATAAAATTTGTACTTTATAAATCTCACGAAGAAACAAATTAGATGTAACATATGAAGACCCAAAAGTCTTACAAGTTACCTTGTAGAAAATCTTTAAAAAATTCATCATCCTTTTTTCCTTGATTCAATCATTACTACTTGGTATCCCATTATTAGATTCAAGATCCATTTTATACATTAGATTTAGTACATCAAGCCTAAAAAAGGTTTTCTTAAATGCAATTATACTTTCAACATCAAGTATGTGAGTTCCATTGGGTAGGCACATCTAAACTCTTACTTGATGTCTTTTCTAATTTACAATATTCTTTAAATTTGTTCAATTTAGATCCTGAGTGCCTGACAAATTAAACAATATTTCTAATTTTCTTCGCAGAGGACTCAATTTTTTTCAAACCATGTGACACCACCAAATTGAATATATAATAAATGCATCTCATGTGCA